TAATATGTGGTTATTATGTATGTTTCTGCGTAATTAACAAAAACGTGCATTCCGATTCTTTTGTCTAGGTACTGTATCTCACTCGTAGGCTTGTTTTAGTGAATGTGAAATCTTTTTTTTTTCTTAGCAGTGTGGCATAGCAACATGATATAGAATGTTTCCTTTATTTGCTTTTAATTAATTAATTAGTTTATTACTAGAGTAACGAGTTGCATCAATAATCACCACCACCATTGTAAGTTTTTTTTTTATGAAACAGTTGTATTATGGTAATTAATACAATTGTCCTCTGGATGTTCAGATTGTCACTTTTTTTTGGAATTCATTTATTATTATAACTATTATTTTACAGTTGGCACTCGATATAGTGGATCGTATGATATAATGAATGAAGTTGGAAAGTGTCATTCAGCTCGATATAATGATTTTTAATATAAAATCTCTATATAATGATATAGTGAAGTTTTTGTCAAAAGCCAACTCTTCCTTATATCGAGCGCTGCCTGTATAGAAATAAAATAAACAAATGTTATCCTCATATCTGATAAATCAAACTCCTCATCTCAACGGATAGATTTTTTTGTTTTGATCCCTTGTTTTCATTGGTAAAAAAAACAATTGGTTAACAATAAATGATAATAACCTTTTCCTTCCCTAAATTTGGGAATTATCAATAATATCCAATTATCAACAGTAAGTTTTATATTTACAATATATAATAGCAGCAATTATAATCTTTATATCGGTTTTTCTAAGCTAAGTTTTTTTCATCATTCTTGTTTTTAACTAAAAAATTTGACTACTAAATTAAGAAATCTGTCGACTTTTAAACAATTAATCTTGATATCAATGCTTTGATTAAAATTTCTTATTTCTTATTAATTACATGCCCACCATGCAGTAGAAGATGATGATATTGTCGAGGAGTTGTATTCTAGAAACAATTTTACAAATAAAACAGTGAGAGACATTATTTCTAAATTCAGAGTAGGGATGCCATCCACCAGACAGCTAAAGTCTGGTCACTTGGATGTACTAATAGTGCTTTTATTCAGTCTTAATGTGTAGTTTTACGAGCATCACTGCAAAAAAATTGGATCCGGAAAATAAAAGCAATGTTCAACTTTGATTCTTTTGTTTTCATGAATAACAGAAAGCTCTGATTTTCTAATGTTTATTAAAAAAATTAAATTAGTTTATTCAATAATCCATTCCTTAACTTTGAAAATATTTACAAAGATCTTGACAGCCCCAACTTACAAATTATTAAAAATCCTAACACACTTTTTATTGACGGTATATTTCTCATAAAGATGGTTGGCTGACGTTAAATTAGAATATTCATCTTCATCATCATCGAATTCGGAATTTCCCAATTTCGGCAATGCTCGTGTTTCTTCTGGTTCGTCAAGAACGTATCCGTCCAATAATATCCTCTCCTTCCAATGAATTTGATCGGAATCAACAATAGCCCTCCATTCTTTATTTACTCGTGCCAATTTGCACGAAGCTTGAGGCATCTAAATAAATGCAAACCTAGTTCAAGCGGTAAGAAGTTGATAAAATCAACTGTTTCATCATCGTCCTCACCATCGTAATTTTCTCTTTTGACAATACTTTCTCGTACTTTCCATTTTCGACATGGATACTATCCGACGGGATACAACCTCTAAGTGATGATTTATTGTAGTAAAATATTTATAAAGGAGGGGGTTATTATTTTAATAATTTTAAAAAAACCCCCAATTTGCAAGAAAAGGGCAATCCCCAAGAATATCCGCGACTATTACAATTACTATGCAAAAAATTTCTTTTAACTTGAATCAATGGTTCATCAAAATGTTTTTATTCCAAATCCAAGTGTTTCTTTCATAATAAATTTTAAAAATATTTGTGGTGAAAAAAAATAAAATTAACATATAATTAATATAAATTATCAAATGATTTGTTTGGTGGTTTAGAAATTATTTTGACAAATGAAACCTATCCAAAATATTTAAACTAATTTTGACCAATAAAATCATTCCTTAAACATACATAAGACCCTGAGATGGTGCTCTCATTATAATGAACGACATTCGCTATATGTCAAATTGATTTCTAAAATACTAGGGGTTTGTCCAAAAAGGTTATCATTGAAGGGATTGAAAAAGGAATTAGAAAATCGAGAAGTTGAGTACGGGAGCCAAAATAAATGATCAAAATTGATAAAGAAATTAGATGAAGTATTAATAATAATAGGATATTTTGATTATGTTTCCTAAATGAACTTGAAAAAACAAATCATTTTCATTCAAAAATAATCACCTTAGGTTATATGTTGCTTAAAATGGAAAAAAAATCAACAAAATAAGTTGTTTGGAGAAGAGTCAAATTGAATTCAACATAGTAATAGAAGTAGTTATTTTTGGTTGTGTTGCTTCCACATTCTCAATTTGAAAAAAAATAAATCATTCATTTTAAATTGTATAATAGTAATATTGCTGCTCATCTTTTGTTTTGTACTGCGCATTAAAATGATAATCAATTTGAAAAGGTGAATTGAATTTGGAAAAAAGGCAAGTTGCAAAAATAATCATGGCACCTACTCATCTTGTTTATCGTTTTTCAACTAATATAAAAAGAATAGCTATCCTTTTACATCTTCGACATAATAATATTTCGTATTACATTTTCACGTGATATAATATCCTGGCCAATAAACGTAGAGATTTTAGTTTCACAAAAAAAACCGATTCGAGAACCTAAACCAAAAACCGGGGGTTTTTTAAACCGCCCCATCCCTATTTACTCATAATAATCAAATAACATTATAAAACAATTGATTAAATTTTAAACTTTGACCATCAAATGTTTGCTCTCAGTATGATTGTATAAAATATTTTTCTTTTTTGCATGCTGTAAAATCACCTTTCCTCGCTTTATTCAAGTCAAGGATAAATCGTAACCAATTTGGATCAATATCTTCACATACTTTTTTATTTAATTCTTGTCCAGTTGTTTCCTTATTTTTTCACTTTTGTGTACTAGCTGCTGTTCTGTTTGGATCCTTTGTTGCTTTTTTCTTTATTTTCGGAGTTTACTTTGCAAATAACAAATTTAATGTGAATGATGTGCATGGAGTGAATAAAATGATATCCTATATTTAAGAAAATTTGAAAATAGATTGAAAAAGTTCACTTGGAAAAAAAAAATCTCAAGAAAAAATTATTGTGCTCAATTTTTACAAACATAATAAGAAAATAATTTGGGATTTTTATTGTGCTAACATTAATATTAAAGGGATCTCTAAATAATACCCCATAGTGATAATTTATCAAGGTAACACATTAAATCTGGTCATACACTCCCCTAAAAAAAGTATCGACTCACTTGATGATCCGCGAAAATAATCGGGTAAATTGGTAATACAAATACTCATTTTTTTACTAAGCAAATCAATGTTGTATATTAGTGAGAAAATGTTTAACGAAATGATTCCTATAACATTCTAAAATATCACATCGGACCGATCGTTATTGATAATTTTATGATGTTTAAAAGTCAAATTAAAATTTTTCGAAAATTTTTCGAAAA